CTCTTATTTCTGCGATCCTTGCGTTCATACATACGGACGGACGGACAGACAGACGAACATGGCTAGATCGACCCGGCTATTGGTGCTGATCAAGAGTATATATACTTTATGGGGTCGCTTCCTTCTGCCTGTTACATACATTTGGATTTTGCACAAATACAATATACCCTTATACCCATTTTTAATGGGTTCAGGGTATAAAAACAAATGCCAATTAAGCCTGAAGTACAACAATAAAACGTTTGAGAATCGGTTCCATTTTGACACAGTTAAAGGTCGAGAAAAATTATTCATCATGTCATTTTTTTACCCTGAACCCATTAAAATTGGGTAAAGGGTTTAATGTGTTTGTGCATATGTATGTAACCGGCAAAAGGATGCACCTCTGACCCCATAAAGTATATATATTGTTGATCAGAATCAGAAGCCGAATCGATCTAACTATGTCCGTTCGACCACCCGCCAGTCTGTTTGTATTGACGCGTCGATCTCAGAGCCTATAAGTGCTCGAGATCTGAACGTAGATCCACCTTGAGCCCACGCAGTACGAGTCGAGAACTAGCCCCGTTATGAAAAAAATTATGCAGAATGGAATCTAGAGTTCAAGCCATGACCAGAATGATATTAATTCGACAGAGTGTAGATAGAGTGTAGACAAGCTACAAAAATTTCAAATAGAAATAAACTACGTAAATCGTACGTTATCCCACCATACCAAGAACATTATTCATATATTTCCTTGTAAACTAGTTTATAACATTTCAATCAGATTGTAAAGGTAAACTATCTGCGAACGTGACTAACTAGTAAAACTAGTCAAAGCTTTTGCGAATTCGACAAGAGATATCAGTCTCACCTTGGGTGCCGTGGGTGGACAAACTGATAGTTGTAGTTATCTTTTGATTATATTCTATTATATTCTGATCTATACAATTCCATTTTCCACTTTCATTATCATTATAAAATAAATAAAATGGTTATAAGCGGCACGCCGAAGATTAAATACTCTTGTAGACATTTGGCTTAGAATTGCTCGGAGTTGTGTTCGTTCATGTGTTGCACATTGAGTGACAAAATAATTATACCTTTTGGGGAAACAAAATTCTGATAAAGCTCTCATGAACAAACAAAATTACTTAACATTTAATGGCAGCTTATCATATATTTTCAACAGGTGATTGGTGCAAAGTTCTCGAATTTCTTTTCAACTGATGTTATGCGCAATATGGAGACGTAATTGCAGATATTTTTGGTTATTTTATGATATTGGAATGTACCCGAGGATGTCTGTGAATAAAGCATTTTTATTGATTTGACCATTGATTGACTTTTGCGCTGATTTTCTGTTTATTATAACGCTCTTTTCTTTTGCCAAGCCCCATTTGATTGACCCCGTCCTCCTACTTTTATTGAATTAATGGTGCGAAATTTCATGAGGACCGCCCGAGGGAATGGGCAAATGATTGATTTCTGGTCTTTGCCAGGCGGCAAAAGCTGTTCAATGAACCTGGCAACACGCATTTAATTGGCGCCTCAATCTGATGCAGAGCAGCGCAGAGTTCTGTCAATCAAATTGGCCCAGCCTCTGTTTCAGCTTCTTTTTTTGTTTTTTTTTTTTATATACTCTGTGGTTGCTTGTAAGTTGCGTTAAATTATTGTCGAAAGTAATTTAAATTATTCAACTGAGACAAGTCACAATGGCGAGGAAGATTTCGACAGGTATTGTGGTAAACGCAATTTTATCTGTTATCCAGTCGAACATTAAATGAAAACTATTTCAATTTCAAGACCGGGAAATTGCCAATTAAATCAACATTCACAATATGCTGCACATCAATCTTCATTTATTCGTTTTGTTTGCTCCAGAGAAAACTAACTGAAATTGGCTATGTCAAAGCAACGAAAACTTTCAGCTCTAAGGGCTGTCAACTAACAGGTAGCAATATGTTCAAATTTGACAGCTGGGTTTACCAGGCAGTTAGCATATTTGTTTTCAATCAGGCAGCGTACTATGCTTCTTGTTCGGCCTACCTTTTGTGCCTTCCTCTTTTCTCTGCCTTTTTATAAGATTATATTTTAAATTTAAAATCTACATATATATATGCAATATATTTAAACAAATTACTTGTAAAAACCCTATTAAAGTTTACTTTTATGAATTCACAAATTTTATCACAAAAATGATTTTGATTCAATTAAAAGCAATTTGAAATGTAATCTATAAATTTTTGTGCCCAATGAATTTGAATTAAAAGTCACAAAGAATATCTTTCTTTTGATTTCGCTTAAACTCAACATGGCTCAAAGTAAGCTTCAGTTATTTGATAACATTCTTTGTTTTTCTCAAAATAAATCATAAAATAAATAAAAATGAAAATATATTTAGTTCAACATTTTGCTGACATATTAGACATGACCTCCTATTCCACATAGTCGAATATATAACCACATCAATCTTATTTAGTGCAGCTATTAATATATATCTTTCGAGTTGATCATTGTGTTTAGATGTGACACAAATTTGTATATTCGAATTATTTATCTCGATATTGTAGCGCAATTTCAATTAAGCATCTAAACGACTCACTTAAAATGCAAATTGCGTGGCATACACACAGGCAGGGACACAAAGAAACAGAGAGATGGAGAGGGAGAGAGTGAGAGCGGGGGGAGCGGAAGTGGGACAGAGCTAGAGCTAGAGATTTGTGCTGCAACAATTGCTGCAACATTTGCACATAAATTTTCATTCACATAATAAAACGAACGAAAACTCTTTTCATATCATATTTAAACACATTTGCCATGCACCAAAAAATCAAATAATCAAAATATATTTCGTTATTTCTGTGTCATTTTTCGTGTGCACATCTTTTAAATAATTGAGAAGCTCCTAACGCGATACAGCGCAGTGAACTGTGCAGATGCATATAAAAATATGTTTAAAAATTACATATGGAAATATGTTATATAAACAAGTTTTGATTAAATTAAAAATAATAATATTTGTTGTGCTCAGATCTTTATCCATCAAAGACTCAATATAAACAATTTGTTAAATCCTCTGAAAAATGAGAAGCTTTGTACAAACAGTTTTCGCTCATATTCCACGCTTGCGCTTTGAAAAGTATGTGAAAATTTTCAGTAAGTTTTGGGAGACGCTTTGTTGATCAATAATATATTAATACATATTTAATTGACTGTTTGACCGACTGAATCTAAAAGATTAATCAACAATGCGTCTGTAGATATATATTCATTCGACTTAAAAGTAAGTCGCCTTTTGGTGATTAGCTAATGTAAGCAATCAAATGTCATCCCATCTGCCGCCCAGCCGACCGAGTGATGCGAAAACGAATACAAACTTTAGATAAATACCTTTATAGAAATATATATAAAATGGAAAAAATTAAAACAAAAGCTTAAGAAATATGTTATACAGTTTTTAAAGATTTACCGAAAATATTTGCAATTTATTTTTGTGCTCTTCGGGCTTTAATTAAATTTTGTTTTTTTTTTTTTGTTTTTATACCCTGAACCCATTGAAAATCGATATAAGGATATATTGTATTTGTGCAAAATCCAAATGTATGTAACAGGCAGAAGGAAGCATCCCCGACCCCATAAAGTATATATATTCTTGATCAGCATCAATAGCCGAGTCGATCTAGCGATGTCCGTCTGTCTGTCCGTCCGTTCGTCCGTATGTATGAACTCAAGGATATCAGAACCTATAAAAACTAGAGACTTGAAATTTTAGATGTAGGTGCTCCCTGTGCCAGCACAGATCTACTTTGTTTCCGATAATCGATAACATACTCCGTTTCCAAGCAATCGATAAAATTCAATATCGATATCCTGTTTTTTTGGGCAATTTTGGTTAATAATAAGAGATGGAGTCACCAAACTTGACATATAGCATCTAAAATAGAATATATGTATGCATTTGATGTTGGAAGAAGAGGGTCAGGGTATTCCCTAGTCGGGAACTCCAGACTAGAACCTCTTACTTGTTTTTTTTTTTTTTTGAGTATTTGCTTCAACTATGCAACATGCATATGTTAAGCGCAAGCACACATACACACTCATACATTTATAGAATCTTAAACAAAAGCACGCTTCGAATTTCTAACATTAATGAACTGCGTTCTTGTGTGTGTGCGTGCGTGTGTGTGTGCGATGGGCACTGCTTGAATTTTCTGTGGAATTCTAATTAAATGTGTGTGCATATTGAGCTCGTGCGTAGCTAAAATATTGCCTAAGCAAGTGTGTCTTTGTTTTAAATGTGCCCAATTAAACGACAAATGGAACATGCTTTTGCTCCCTCGAAACAATTTTAAGCTAATCATAGCACATAAGCAGCTGCTTCACACACACACACGCACACACACACAGAGCTTATTTGGTAGTCAGCTCACACATAAACTGGCACACGCACAACTACACCTTAAACTTTGGCCAAATCCGGTAAATTATCAGCTATTTTATGGCTAAGAGGAAATGCGCCTGCCGCCATTTTGTTTTCAAGTGAGCTTGTCACTAAGCGCCCAGCCGAGTGCCATAAACGATTGATGAGTCCCAGTTGTTAGCTTACGCATACACAAACACACAGCCTTTAAGCCAGCTTTGTATTTGCGCTTATTAATTTCAAAAATGTGTGCCCTTTTGTTTATAGCGGCATATTTTGCGGCTTTCGCTTTTGAACACATGCACACACACCCAAACCTGCTTACAAGCTGCCCACCCACTTTATTATTTACAAGTTTTGGTTTATTGTCAGCTTTATGGCCCCGACCTTACAAAGGTCTTAGAGCTTGTCAACGCCTCCGCCCCCTCTCACCCACATTGTGCGGTGCGGTTAGCGAGCCAAAGTTTTCAACTTAAATGTTAGTTATGAATTTGATTGGACCCTTTTGTTTGGCTCGCCACAGTATTTCAGCCTGATTAATTAATATGCATTTGATTTGTCAAAATATATTTATTTTTTTCTTCTCTGCTTACAGCTCAAAGCCTGCCGCACTATTGCGAGGAGAAGCAGTTCCGTTGCAGGGAGAGCGGCGAGTGCATACCCATTAGATTTGTCTGCGATGGTGATACGGACTGCAAGGATCACAGCGATGAGCTGCTCGAACAATGTAAATTTACAGGTGAGTCGAGAGGACGGCGCTACATAAACTCCATAAACTATTGCTGAACTGTGTGCCCCAGTTGGCAAAGTTTTGGGTGCCTTTGAGGATTCATGCTAGCTGCCACCTCAATTGTGGCGCCATAGCCTCCTCATCCTTAGACAACTGATTTTTATTCAACTTCAGCTTTCAACTTTTGTTGTTGCCACATTTTTTATGGAGCTTTGCTCGGCCCAAAGTCAAGGCACATGATGTATTTGCTGTAGCTGTTGGGCTTGCATGAATGGCCACAACTGTTGTCTGTGTGGCCAACTACCAACCAACCCCCCCCCCCCCCCTCCTCTCAAATGCTCACCCCCTCCCTCTCACCCCCCTCACACTCTAATCTGTTGTCAGTCATTTTGTAGTTTTTCAATTTAGAAAATGTCACAGAACTAACCATTTACTTAGTTGCTATGTGTATAAGTGTGCATGTATGCGTGTGTTTATCTGAGTGTGTGTGACTATTTGTGAGTGTTTGCTTTTGTATTGGATTTTGGTGTTTTACTATTTGACTGCGTTGTTGAGTAAGTAACAACTGGCTGTTTATTTAGTGTCATGTTAGGCGGACTTTCAACTGCCCCAACTCAATTTGCTTTCGTTTAATTTTTAGACCCGATGTATCACAGAGTTATATATGTGTGTGTCTATGTATTTTTTTATTAGCTCTATGCTTTTAATTTACAGTTTCTAGTTTATTCGTGCTTCGTTGCTTACATTTGGCAAGACTTTGATATTTTATGTTGCCTACTTTTGGGGCTGGCACTTTAAATAGTCGTCGCGCTACAGTGCGCGCTTAAATATTAGGCAGATCAACAAAATTCACCTCACTTCGCGTAGAGCAATTAATAATTGTTATAAAAATGGTTAACTTGTTGGCTTATTTTGTTTTGACGAGGCAAATAGCATTGTTTTTAAAAATAAAGGAGCATAAATAAATTATTTACATAACTTTTCATTAATCCTATAATTAAATTCCTATTATACGTTAAATATATATTTTTTAATAACGTCAGTCCAGTTGTTTTTGTCTCAATCCTCCAAACAAGTCTTGTTTTTTTTAATTGTAAAAAATTAAAAAAAAAAATTCAGTTTAAGGTTTTGCGATTCAAAACCATTCAAAAAAGTTTTGATAATTTTCATTTTGTATGAATCGATCTATTTGTTAAATATAAATACTCCCCATTTTATTTATATATTTAAAGGTCTATCATTATTTCATTTATTATTGTTATTTTTTAACAAGTGTGCCGTATTTATTATTTTAAAATTTGAATTTATGGCCATACAATAACAGCATTTATAGTCCAAGCGGTTGGTAGAGTTCAACAAACTGAATTGAATCACAAACTGAAATGTGGACACAAACAACAACCTTGAGCCGTTCTGCGCTACTGTGAGTGAGTGCAAGAGATAAGCAAATGAGCATGTGGCAAACGGAGCACTTGCAACCCGTACAGCAGCCAAGTGCGAGCTGAGTCTTATTTGGCGAACGTTTAAGACAAGTCAAGTGCAATCTAACTAAGCCATTGCATCATGCTTCGAGCACAGACACAGCTTAAAAGAGCTTAAGCCGAGAGCAGACGCACAGCAGAGCAGCTAGCAAAAAGCTTAACTTGTTTGAATGTAGCTCAAGTCGAGAATGATAATGTATGTATACATATATAAAAAAAAATATATATATATATATATATATATATATATAGAAATAAATGTAATTCCAATATTTTAGAATATTTTAGAAATAAATGTAATTCCAATATTTTAGAAAAACTTTCATGCTATAGATTTTGCTGTTAATATTTTAAACAAATATTTACTGACACATAATTGGGTAGAAACTATAATGACTCAAAATAAATTTAGAGTTTTCATAGGCTAGTTTTCTTTAATTCAATTTAATGACCGCCATAAATGAACCTACAATGGATATTTGGATATATACCAATTTTTAGATCATTTGGGAATCAGCTTGAATATCGATTCTAGAGATAGCATACAGTTCGATTAAAAAGTAGATTTGATTTTTATTATTACTGAAGAGTTTTGTAAACAAAGGAAAATTTAGCATATTTTTTTAGCAGTTAGCTTTCCCTTTCAGTTAATTGGATGTCAAAAGCAAACTTTAATTCAAATTGCAGCTTGTTTTCATTATAAAACAAAATAAATTCTAAGAATAAATTTTTCTGCGTAAATTAAAAAATATTACAAAAAATAGTCAAAGCGGTAGCTTCATAATCTTTTTAATATGAGCAAATATAGATTAAATAACTTTGTGCATTAAGCCTACATATTTAGGTAGCAGTTGCTATATATAATGTTTAATAACTAGATTATTTTTGATAAGCCCAAGCGTTAAATAGTTTTCCCTGGAAAACACAAGTTGTCGCAGTCTGTGCCTTCGACAAAAGGAAGTCGTGAGGTCATTTAGTGTTTTTTCTTGCTGATATAGCACAGACAATCCTATAAAGTCTCCGTACTTATCGCGCACTTAACAATTGCGACTTAAATAATTAGTAATTGAAATGCATATGAGCGAAAGAGTGAGATAGTGAGGGAAAAATGAACTCAACTCTTAAGAATCGCAATGCGACGCACAAACAAAAACGAGCTTAAACTTGACCCATTGCCCCACAACTAGTGCAGATAGAGGATATATATGTATACATCTATATACATCTGGAATTCCCCCGCACAGCGCACAGTAGTGGGTCAATCGCCTGAGCGCGTCATGTGGGATTCTTATCAGTGCGGCGTTTGGTTTAAATGCGTCTCAGGCTAATTGGGCGGCAGCAAAAAAAAAAAAGCAAAACAAAATTAGTAAGCGTGTTCCAATCGCAGGCTGTTCGACAATAATATACCCTGTAGTTGTATAAGCATTGACACATATGCTACAAAATTTTACATTTACCTTTTAAAATATACAAGTTAAATTAAATTTGGATTTGGATTGGATTAGGCAACTAGGCTAAAAGGGAAATTTTATATTACCAAAGATATATATATACATATATATATATATATATATATAGATTTTAAAAAGCGTAAAGAGAAAGACAGATATTTAGACGGGCAGCAAGTGGTCCAGCAAGGGACGCCTTCCCACAGCATATGCACAACTGCAAAATACCCTATTTAAACTCTACGTTCAATTCGCACCGGTTATTCATGTCATAAACAACACAAGATTTTAATTGTTATGAATATGGTTCATTTAGTTATGCAGCATTTGAAATTTGCATTTGTTATTTTGCTGTTGACAAATTGCAGCTGATTAGCCGCAGACAGAGTCGTATAAGCATTTGCTACCGACTGATAAGCGCTCATCCAAACATTTCCTGAAGCCGCCGAGCTAGTTGTCATAGAAAACACACTCACTCACACACTCACTCACACACTCACTCACTCACTCACTAACACACTCACTCACACACTCACTCACACTTTTGTCATTCACTCTGCATTGAGTGCAAGTTCCTGACGGTTATCAGAATTTTTTTTGTTGAGCGCAAGCTCACAAACTGCTTGTTTCTGCTTTTGGATGCTGCTGGCTGGCGATTTGTATTTTTAAGATACGCCGCATTGCGCTCAAAACTCAGTTGGCAACGAACTTTGAATTAAAACGGACGTGTGTGTGCCACAGGACGTGTCCCAGCCGTCAAGTAGCACAGCTCGAGAATTGAGCACTGAAAAAAGGCGAAGCCTAAGTAAATTTACTGGAAGCAAAAAAAACAAGTGACAAGAAAATATTCGAAAAAATATATAAATAAATAAAATAAAAAATAAATATATTTAATGCACTTCAATAAATATTTAAAAAAAAAATGTGTTAATTATATTGCACAAATCTGACTTGATGTGCGGTGCGTGTGTGTTTACTGTGCCTGGCGTCGCATTGGCGCCAAGTTTGGGCGAACAAGTTTTTTGGTTTTTGGCCAGGCCAGGAAGCTTTTGCTCGTCTGTGTTTTCCTCAGTATTTCCACAGTTGACTTTTCATGCTTCTGCGCGTCGTCGTTGTTGTTGTTGTTCCTTCAAGGGTTTCTCTTAGCACAGCTGCTCTTAGCAGACAGACATATATTTTTTGTATATTTTGATTTGGCTTTTGTTTTGCATTATACGAAGCACATGAACTTGACACAAATGTGATATATGCCCCACTCTGTCCCGGCCTGGCCAATTGCCATTGCCATTGACATTTCCATGCAGTCGAGGCGTGCGTGTCGTATATCAATACGGCAGCTCTTAAGCTTTACACGCATCTGTTAACGGCCATAAAGCGTATTAAGTTGTCATAATTAACAATTAAATTTTATAAAGTACCTTTACGCAAACAACAACAACAACAACAATAAAAAAGGGTGTAGCTGTGAAACAATGGCAATTAAAAGTAAACACACACGCAGCGCAGCCTTTCAATGTGGAGATTAACAAATAAAATACAGAAATTATATGTAATAATTAAGCAAATACAAAAGCCAGCCGGCGCTTAATTAAAACAAAGAAGAACAACGAATATTATGAAAAATAAATACAGTACAATACAATATTTTCTGCTAAAAAAAGTGATATCAATTAAATTATGCAAATACACAAAATTAAATACGTTTCCATATTTCAATGTACATATAACAAAATCAATTGCCCGGGTAAAAATGTGCATTAAAATAGTTTATTATAAAATGCTAATCCAAACATTGATTCTAATAAACACAATATAATGCCTAAAGCAAAACAATTATTTATATGTTGATCAATAAATTTTGCTAATTTGTAATTTATGCCAGAACAAAGCTAATATATATGTAAATAATATAACAATACAGATATACGGCTAATCCATTTGGGGACAACAAAAAAAGTAATTGAATATTTCCAAATAATAGAAAACCACATGAATACAAAATATCAACGTGCAGCACTACAGCTTCAAAGAAGCGGAATCTGACATTTCATTCTAATTGTTTAAAGTAATTACTAAAGAA